TAAAGAAACCTTTGTTTCTCAAACATACTGACAAGAGAACACTTGCTAATGTGACATGAGACTATCAGCAATGCTACTCTAATCCTTATCACATGGAAAGCCTTGAAATCCGTCTCCTCCAGTGTATCCAGCCTAGGAGACTTCCAAAGTACAAACACCTTAAAGTATGTTGCTCCACAAGACCAACGTTCTCAAAATTAGGGAACACGTGCCTCACTTGAAGGGCTGGGTAAAACAGAGATCACTAGGCCCCACCACCAGAATCTCTGATTGAGTAGATCTGAAGTGGAGCCTGCAAATTTGCATTTCTAACAAGTTCCCAGGTGGGACTGATACTGCTAGTCCAGGACCTGCAGCCAATAAATAACACCTTGGGAGCTCTGGTGGCATAGTGTCTAAGGCATTTGACTGCTAACCAGAAGGCTGACGGTTCAAATCCACCAGCCATGCCTCCGAAGGAAGAAGGGGAAATCTACTTCCATACAGATACCCCTCGGAAACCCAAGGAGAGGTCGCTATGACACTTCGCGAGGAGTTTAACAGAGGTGAACTCTATCTTCCTTCTGCAACACCAAAGAAGTCAAGTCTAATTCAGAATTTGAAACCATGACTCATCTCTGCAGCAAGTTCTTTAAGTATTTCATAATAGAGAAATGGACGGTGGAGTCAGAAAGACATCAGGTTTGCAAATTCCAGTTCTACCAACTCCTAGCTGAGTAAATACTTTTTTTTTTTTTTTTTAGTATTAAAGAGTATTAAAACTTTCCAAGCTGCAGTTTCATCTCTAAAATGAGGATAATACCTAACTACATGATGCTAAAATAAAGGAGGTAGAATATCTAGGAGAGTGCCTAGCACATAGTAAGAGCTCAGTACTGGTCATTATTTTTTAATAATTTGTTAATAAGCCACCTGATCTTGAAAGCAACTCATCCTCTGCATGCAGTCAGATGATTTTTTTTTTTTTAACGTTCTTGGCTATGACAAATGCGAGAGTACTCTTTCTCCCACCCACCACCTCACACAAGCACAAAGTGCATCTGTTTTCTTTGCTGACCCTATCTGCCCTCCCACGCTCCTGCACACACCACCCACAAATACATGTTAGCACCAACCAATCATCATCGTGGGGGAAAATACTTCTCCCACACGTGCAAAGGAGAGCAGCCGCATGTGTACGCAAACTCCCTGTCAACTTGGCTTGACGAGGAAAGGGGCTCCCGGGGATCACCTACTCAGCTAATGACATGTACCATGTTGCACATGACAGGAAACAGGATGGCCCCTGACATACCACAGTTTGTTATGTTGTTGTTGTTGTTATGTGCCGTCGAGTCGGCCCCGACTCATAGCGACCCCTCCTTGGGTTTCCGAGGCAGTATCACTACGGAAGTAGGAATGCCCAACCTTCCTTCCGAGGAGTGGCTGGTGGGTTTGAACCGCCAGCCGTCTGGTTAGCAGGCAAGTGTCTTAGCCACTATGCTACCAGGGAGCTCTGGTAGCATAGTGCCAAGGCACTTGACTGCTAACCAGGAGGCTGGTGGTTCAAACCCACCAGCCACTCCTCGGAAGGAAGGTTGGGCAATCCTACTTCCGTAGTGATAACTGCCTCGGAAACCCAAGGAGGGGTCACTAGGAGTCGGGGCCGACTCGAATGGCAAATAATACCACAGTTTAGGCCAGGAAAAGGTGAGAAGTCCTTAAATGGGGGCTCTGGTTGCCACTTTCATCTCTGCTGCTTACTAGCCATAGGACAATTATTGGTACTCCGTGTTCACTTCCTTTCTCTCTCAAATGAGGCTGCTATAAGGACTGCGCCTTTAAGTCCAGGCCACCATGCCACCAGTAACTCTCACCTGGACACGGGCAGTAGCTTCCTAAGTGGTCTCTCTGCTTGTACTCCTGCCCACACAAGTTGCAAGATTGATATTTTAAAAATTTTAATTACAGCACATGGCTACTTAAACCCTTCCAATAATGTCCCATCACACTGAGAAGGAAATTCTAACTCCTCACCATTGCTCACAAAGCCCTACAAGAAATCGCCCGTTCCACCCCCAAGCCCTAAATTTCATTCAGGGTAGCTTTCTTGCTGTTTCCAAAATATTTCACTGCTGTACCCAGCACCTATCTGCTTGACCAGTACCTAACAGGAACCCAGTAACTGTTGCCTGGATAATGTATGTGGACGTATTTGTTGTTGTTGTTATATGCCGTCAAGTCGGACCCAACTCATAGCGACCCCTCCTTGGGTTTCCAAGGTAGTATCACTACAGAAGTAGATTGCCCCATCTTCCTTCCGAGGAGTGGCTGGTGGGTTTGAACCGCCAGCCTTCTGGTTAGCAGTCAAATGCCTTAGGCACTATGCTACCAGCAATATGTAAAGTGCTGCATACATGTAACAGAGGATCACAGTATCCAAACAAGCCAGCCAAATCATTTTTCTTTTTATAAAACAGGGAAAAAAGCGGAGGACTGGGGTGGAAATCCAGGGTAAATGGGGGGTAAGGGGCGGCTTCAAATGGTGATTCAAAAAATAAACCAAGCCATCCATTTCCTTAAACACATGAGGCTGGCTTGCAGGCCAAAGATGCACTTACAGTACTAACAATTCATTTCTATTCATTCTATCTGGGCCTGTCTGCTCCACCCAGCCATTTAGTCGCACAGAAGACAGGCGGCTGTAGCTCTCCCAGAGCCAGGAAGCAGCACAATTTCCTTGGGGGTAGCCTGGAAGCTGGGATCCTGGCCTCACAAGCAGGGCTGACTCACTCTCATTGTATTAGCTCTGCCCTCCCGCATCTGGGTCCTCCTAACTGCAGAACTGCCTGCCTGGAGCCCGCATTCCCATAGCGGACAGGAGGGGCTGTGCTTCCCAGATGGCCCAGCCCTTTCTGGGCCAGCAGAGTGCAAAGCAAGCCTCTTAGTAGTTCTGCAGGCTGAAAACTCAATTTACTCACCTGGCACCTGGGCCCGGAGACTCCCCACAAACATCCATGTGGCTTCCTCTCCACCTGTTGAGTTTATCATGCCTTGCTCAGGGGCCTGAAGGGTGTGGGTGTCCTATAGGCTGCAGCCAGAGGTGTGCTGGTTTGTCCCCCAGAGCTAGGCCCAGCGTCTTCAAAGAGGAACTGCCAGTAAACTCCAGTCCCAAGAAGTCACAGTCAAAAGGAAACAAGCCAACAGATTCTCCAGGTGGTCACTTGGCACCTAATCCAGATGCTACCTGTGGTTGTGGCAAGTCAGCTTGCCCAGGTCCTGTGAGTTCAGGCTTCTCCTCAGTGCATGAACCAGAGGAGAGGGAACTGCCCACAACTCCCTATTTTGGTAAATTCCAAACTCAGAGAGGCCAATTCCCCCTGTAGTGCCTCCTCCCAGCCAGCCCCCAGGCCTTCCCACTTACTGGTAATGACCATGTGTCTCCCATGGGGCTTCCAACCAGTTCTTGCTGGTTTGGCCCCCTGTGGGAATTTGCATTTTCACCCCAGATATACTGAATCAGAATCTACATTTTAACAAGAGCCTCTGCTTTGTTCTCTGCCATATCTCCGTGCCTAAAAGAGTGTCTGACACACAGTAGGTACACAAGAACTGTTTCCTAAATGAATGACTTTAAGACTGAGAAAGCAAGAGCCTTCCAAGAAGTGCTACATGAAGTAAAGGCCTGTGAGGCCCAACATGCCCAGGGTGCAGCAGCTCCTGTCCTCATCCTCCAGTATCAGTGCGCAGGACGCCTGCAAAACTTTCCATTTCCCACACCTTGTCAAGTTTCTGTGACTTAGATGCCACAAAGCAGGTCAAGAAACCCCCTCTGTGTAAGTGTCAGCGAGCATGGTAGGGGGAGGTACCCAGGTGAGACAAACAGGTGTGGAGATGAGTACAGAGGTGGATAGAGGGGGTAGGAGAGGGCACGCCCCATTGGAGGAGCTGCAGGTGTGTGAGCAGATGTAGCTGATGGGGCATGGATGCAGGTGTGAACAGGAGTGAATGACAGGGCATGTGTGCAAAAAAGGTGAGGGGGAGCATGTGTGTGCATGTGTGAATGCACCTACACGTGCATGAGAGGAAAACTGTGTACATGGGAGAAAGTGTTGGCACTTCCTCACCCCAGTGCAAGCTCAGGCTGAAAGATGGTGACTAGGAGGCACTGTGCAAGGAGGCACTTGTGTCTTCAGCAAGAATCCCAGCCCACCCCACCCCATGTTTCCCACCGCCTGGCCTATATCAAGCTGTATGAGAAGGAAATAATGTAACTGGAGCCCAGGCTCCCTCCATTAAAGGACCAGAGGGCAATTACACAGCAGCAACCAGGCAACCAAAACAGTTCCTGGAAAATACACACAAGTTCCACTCATGGGTGCCTCAGGCTCTCTGGGAACAGGGCATTGGTGTCCTTCAGGAGGAGCCCAGGCTCCTAGTAATTCTGCACCAGACCTAAACACCTCATTGTGGGTTCTCTGGAGATTTCAAAAAGCAACAGAGGCACCAGTGCAGTATATGGGCACTTTATTACCAGCTATACATCTAATGAGCCTCAGAGCCCCTGGGAACAGCAGGGCTAGGAGAGGCCTTGACCTGCTGGGCCTTTCTGCTGCGCTGGGGCCTGTTCTTGCTGACCCCTCCCAGCAGCCAGTGAGTCAAGGACACAAGCTCCTGAGTCCTGCCTACCTCACCAGTCACACCTCCACTGTCCAGCCCATTCAATCTATCCAAACACTTTCTCATTCTCATTTATTCATTTCCTCATTCAACAAATAGGTATTGAGCATTAGTACCTCTCAAGTATACTTCTAAGCACCAAAGTAGAGAATTATATAGAGCAGACAAAAATAGTGCCCTCATGTGGTTCCTCAAAAAGTTAAACATTAAGTTAACATATGATCCAGCAATTCCACTCCCAGGTATATACCCCAAAGAACTGAAAGTTAAAACTTAAACATATACATCTGCATCTATGTTCATTGCAACACTATTCACAAGAGCCAAAAGGTGGAAACAACTCAAGTATCCATCAAGAGCTGAAAAGATAAATAAAATATTCCATATACAACGGAGTATTACTCAGCCACAGAAAGGAATGGAGTTTTGATACATGCTGTGACATGGATGAACTATGAAAACATTATGGCAAGTGAAATAAATCATATGCAAAAGGACAACTATGTACAGTCCCATTATATGAAATATTTAGGCAAATGCATGGATAGAAAAGTACATCATTGGCTCACCCAGCCTCTATGGCTCCAGAAAGTCTAGATTCCATGAGAGTTTAAAAACCTGTTCTGCATTTTCTCCCTTTTGATAAGGAGATAATCTTTAAATCTTAAAACAGAAATATCCCTCAAGCCTTCTTAAAACCAAGCAATAGTTTAGTTAGCTAATAAGTAGTATCTGCCTTGAGCACTGAGCACTGTGCTCTTTTAAGAACTATCTATAAGGGATCAAACTGACAAGAGCAACTCAAAAGATTAGACAGGAAACTTAGAGGGTAGTAACTTTATGTTAACAGAGAAGGAACAATTCAGAAAAGAGTGAAAATGATGTCACAGTTTGAAGAATGTCATCAATGAAACTGAATTGTACATGTAGAAATTGTTGAATTGGTGTACGTTCTGCTGCATATAGGAGCTCTGGCAGTGCACTGGTTAAATAAAGCATTTAGCTGCTAACTAATAAGTCAGTGGTTGGAACCCATAGAGCTGCTCCACAGGGAAAGAATAGGCAGTCTGCTTCCATAAAGATCTACAGGCTTGGAAACACTATGGGGTACTTCTGTTCTGTCCCGTAGGGTCACTGTGAGTCAGAATCGACTCAATGGCAGTGGATTTGGGTTTTTTGCTGTTTATATCATTAATAAAAATTATGTTAAAAAAATAAAAAGTAGTAGCAGGGCCTGGGGGAAGGAGGATATGGGAGGATATGGAGAGTTACCGCTTAATGGGTATAGAGTTTCTCTCTGGGGTCTGGAAATAGTGGTAATGAGGTAATGGTAAAAGTAATTAACTCCCTTACTTGTACATTGAAATGGAAAGTTTACACATATATGTATACACACACACACACACACATATATAAACACAATGAAAAATAGATAAATAAGAAAATAGATAATAAAAAAATAAATAAATATGAGTCGGTTCTGACTCATAGCAACCCCCTTTGGGTTACTTCTGCAGAAGTAAATCTTTACGGAAATAAATTGCCCAGTCATGCCTGAAATTTCACAGCCAGCCTTTCATTCCTTGGGGTTAAGCAATGCCCTCCCCCACCATATAGTTTTATATATATATATATATATATATATATATATATATATATATATATATATATATATATATATATATTTTACCACAATGAAAAATAGATAAAAAAAAAAATACTGTCCTCATGGAACAGACATTCTAGTTGGGAAAAACAGACTATAAACAATACCAATAAGACAAACAGAAAGTATGTTCGATGTGGAAAAATATCATGGAGAAAATAAAGCAGGGAGGAGGGCAGTGGAATGGGGCATCAGGAAGGATCTCCAGCACTATGCTCAGCGTCTGCTCAGAGACTTAACACCAGCTGTTCTACATGCCTGAAACACTGTTCCCCCAGCCATCCCCAGGGTTTTTCTGTTTCAGGCAGCTTGTTCTCATTCCACTCAGTGTTCACTTCCTTAGTTAGAGAAGCCCTCCCTGAGCTCCTCAGGGAAACAGATGCCCCCTTACACTCATATCACTACCCCCATAGCCTGTTTCATATTTTAAACCACTTAATCACGATCTGAAATTAAATTATTATACACTTACTATTTTTCTGCCTCCCCCACTGGAATATATGCTCCAAAGGGAGAGAAGATTTATCTGTCCTGTTCATCACTGTGTTCTCAGTACCTAGAACAGGCCAACATGCAGCAGGCTAAAAAGAAAAACAAACTCACTGCCATTGAATCATCAATTCTGACTCATAGCGACCCCCTTTGGGTTTCCGGGGAAGTAAATCTGCACGAGAGTAAATTGCCCAGTCATGCCTGAAATTTCACAGCCACCCTTTCATTCCTTGGGGTTAAGCAATGCCCTCCCCCACCATCTAGTTTATAATACTATTGAGCAAGTAACACAAGAAGTCATTAACAGTTTAATGTGAATCCATCACTTGTCTCTAGGGGCTGCTTAAAAATATAAGAAAACATATTGATTATGAGGGAAGGGGACAGAGGAGGAGGAAAAAAAGCATGTGGTATGCTCAAAAGAGCCCTGGGTTGGGGGAGAGGGGACCTGGGGCTGGTCCCTGCTAGGTCCTGGATTTCTGTGCAGTCTCTAAGCATCAGTTTCTTCATGACTTAGAGCTGAAAGGGAGCTCTGTGGTCATAGGGATTCTGGGGTGGGGGTGGGGGAACAGATCAATAAGGAGAGGTGATAGATGTAGCTGCCTCCCCATTCTGCAGGCAAGGACAACAGATTTGTAGTCTGATCCCTGCCTTTCCAACGGCTTCAGGATGATAGAAATAAAATGGGAAGAACTGAGTAGCAGTGGGAAGCCACATGCATGATATTAATGCACACTCAGTAAGAGCATCTCCCCGTTGCCAAGCACCCCCTGTACACACACAGTTACTATTAGAAAGTTAATCATGGAAAATGCTGAGGTCTCTTTTCCCAGCCCTGCATCTCTCAGCTCCACACTAGTTTCATCTTCCATATAATGTTACTGGACAGTGCCATTGGCTCCATCTACTCTGTTGTCCTAGGCCTTTGTGACCTTTCTATTCCCTTCACGCTGCACGCCACGTCAGCCCCGCAGAGCCGTAAGACATGCTGGCTGCAGCCTGGGCCTGGCCCCGGGCAAACACACTGACATTTTCCATTGGGCTGCACAGGCCAGCAAAATGCTTAGGGGGGGATTAAGACAACTTGCTACATCACCCATAGTGTCTTTAGGAACGGGGAAAAACACCAATAGTCCCCACCTTGGCTGCTGAAAATATCCACACACCATTGTGACTCAGAGATAAAAGGCTGAGGCTAAAGCTGCTGCTCTACCCTAGATATGCAAAGCACAGACCATTTTCCACCCTGTACTTTCTGCAAGGGAGCTCTGGTAGCATAGTGCCTAAGGCACTTGACTGCTAACCAGGAGGCTGGTAGTTCAAACCCAGCAGCCACTCCTCGGAAGGAAGGTTGGGCAATCTACTTCCATAGTGATACTGCCTCGGAAACCCAAGGAGGGGTCACTATGAGTCAGGTCTGACTCAACAGCACCTAACAACAACTTTCTGCAAGATCACTAGAGAAGCAAGTACTGTTTGAAGGCCAGCCTCATAAAAAGCTCAGTCACTACTTGTCAGTCAACACTTCCATGAATGTATAATTGATTTTTTTGTTTTATGATTTGTAAGCACTCATTCCCTTTCCATTAAGCTGGATAATCGAGAGAAGACTATAAAAGAGTGTTAACATCACAGCCAAGATCACTCCCTCCTGGTGCCCTTCTAACCTCAAGACTGCAGTTGTTGTTGTTGTTGTTATGTGCCGTTGAGTCGGCCCCGACTCATAGCGACCCCTCCTTGGGTTTCCGAGGCAGTGTCACTACGGAAGTAGGATTGCCCAACCTTCCTTCCGAGGAGTGGCTGGTGGGTTTGAACCGCCAGCCTGCTGGTGAGCAGTCAAGTGCTTTAGCCACTATGCTACCAGAGCTCCTAAGACTGCAGTATATGGCTTTATGAACAAGAGCAAGAACAATTAATAACATCACTGTTTATAAAGCAGATTAATTCTGCTGTGATCTCAATAGTTGTGGGCCTCCTTGAGCATACAGTGCTGAAAAATATCTAAGGGTCAAACTAGGAACATTTTGGTAATGTAAGTGCTTCTGCTTGATGGCACTGAAAATGAGAAAAGAGACTTGATTGGGGGTGTATGGTGTGAGGTCTGGGGTCAACTTAGGTTTGGTTCCCAGCTCCACCGCTTTAATGGCCCTGTGACCTTTAATAGGCAATCACTTCACCTCAGCATGTTCCCACATGGCAAAGAGTCCTGGTAAAGATTCAATGATATGATGCACTTAAATAGCTCAATTCAGTATCCAGCATGTAGCAGCACTCTATATGCTGCTACTGTAACTGTTACTATTAATGATAATAACATTTCCAGTGCAGATGATGTGATCTCATTTGGTTCCCATGCCAACCCAGGAATGGAGATGAGAATGGTATGTCCCTTGCTATCCCTCAGCCTGTCTCTCTGCCCAGCACGGCCACTGGGCATCCCACATCACATACTCTCCTCTGCTCCCCAAAGCCAGGATCACCTCAAGCCTATTGCCTGTGCTTGAGTGAAAGGAAAGGGGACCATTGTCCCCTTGTTGTTGTTGTTTTTTTAATTGTGTGTCAGGTGCAAGTTTACAGAGCAGAGTTTGTTTTACATTCAGTATTATGTGTACATTTATTTTCACTCCCCATTTACCATCCCCAACCCTAACCCAGTCTCCTCCCCTCCCTGACCAGTAACCTCCCTCCCCCTGTGCCCCTCACAGTTATGCACTCCTGTGTGTCCTGTATTTCCTCGTGCAAATGTTGCCCCTCCAGTGCCTCATGGTCGATCACTGCAAGAGATGCATTTCCATAGAGTATGTGGGTGCGCACCCTGGGTTGCGTGGTCTGCATGTACATCTTGTTTATTACTGGGCTGCAAACTAGCCCCTGGGAGTGAGTTTTATTCCAGGCCCAGAATGTATCCCAGGGTCATAGTATTGGGGATCTCACCAGACTCCATCTGACCAGTAATTCTGGTCATTATTGAGTTTTTGGATTTTGTTCCACATTTTTCCTCCCACTCTATCCAGGATCTCCAGATTTGATCCTTTCCTGAGTGATTGGCATTGGTAGCTGGGCACCATCTAGTTCTTCTGGTCTCAAGGGCCATCGCGTCCTAGGGCCAATTGCTTCAAAATGCCCTTGGTTTTTTTTGCACTCTTCTTTCCTTCTGACAATAGGAGACTATTAGCTGCATCTTAGGTGGCTGCTTGAAAG